CTGCTGTTGCGCGTTAGATGGGAAAAAGCTTGTTTAGTATGACATTGTGTTGAATTCTAGGTTTCCTGTCTAGGGGTAGGGAATGTGTCTCTTAAGGAGGAAACCTCGCCCCAGTTACTAGTACCCTCAACCCCATACTCAAGTAGTAACAGGACTTATCATGTATGTACACTTCAATTTTATTGTCTCTTTTCAATTGAATCAATGTCAGGAGCATCTCCAGAGACGGAATTAACTAAAATTGTTGGTTCCACTACCACTTGGCTAACCAAAAGGTCTTCAGCCGTGGGAGATGATTCCATTGAATTAAAGACTTCTTCATTATTCGAGGTGTCATTCAAGAACCTCGATCGCAGTGACTCTCGCAGGCGAATTGAGGTGTTGGAACAATTGCGGTCACATCCGCGACCCTGTAATAGGCAGCGGTAATTGGGATAACGGTTGGATTTCAGCGGGCGTGGACGGAGCCTTGACTTCCAGTCCCCCGAATTGTTTTCACTGCAAAGTCGCCGGCGACTTGCATTACGTCGAGGTGGGGTGGACGAAGAGGAGCTACAATTCGGGGATTCACTTTCGCAAGTTGTTGATTTCTTTGTGTAACAACTTGATGAAGACTCGCGTAATCTCGATGAAGATTGGCAGGGACTCAACTGTCGCCGTGCTTGCTTACGGGGAGTGCAGCTTGCCCGATTCTTGGGAATTAATTTTTTTATGCATCCGCGTTGCCTCCTAACTCGCGCCTTCCCTGACACCAGTGGGGGTCTCCTTCTTATCCTTTTCGTTTGGTCACAATTTCTTGAAGCGTAACGAAATAGATAGTTTCGGGTACGCTTCTTGAATCTTTGAAAGAGTCTGTTCATTGCCGATACACCCCGTTGCTTTCGGTGATTCACCACTGTTCCGCATTTTGGTTTGCTGGACTTGCATCTTTTTGCTGAAGTTGGAGAACACGGAGGTAGGGTATCTTCCACACGTGAACGCTTTACAACCTTTGGTTTGCATTTTGGTGATTCGTTTGAACTCTCATACCCAGATTCACTCATCTTTTTCCTCTCGAAGCACCAACCACCGCCAGTAGAGACACCACCCTATTGATCCAAATCACGAGATTTCGATGTCACGCGATAAACTTGGCGTAAGTTTCGAGTATTTTTAACGGACAAACACGGAAGGTTAGTATTAGGTCAAATCTTGGAACTCATTTCTTAACTAACGAATGGTTGCAGTGCGGATCGTGGTGCCCAAAATTTCACTAGGAAGTTTGCTATCTAACATTTTCGGGAAACAGAGAAGACAGTATTTGGATTGAAAATATCCTCTCTCCACGGGATAGCGTTTTGTGGAACAAGAATAAATCGGTATCACTACGCTTGTGCTATGGCCATTCGTTGAGTGATAAATTAATGATAAAATCCGATTCAGCACATGTTTGAGTCTAAATTAGTACATACAGTTAAAGAGATACTTGTAGCTATATCGCAAAACTGAAAAAAGGAAAAAAATAAGAATACATGGGTCATATTTTTTTGCCAAAAGAGGGAATTGCGGCAGTTTGTCGTATACTAACTGTAACACTCACATTGTTTTAATGTACCTTTCAGGGAGGGGGCAATCATGAAATTCGAATCTCGTGACCGGATCGTCCTCTCTCGTACCTAGTGACTGCGGTTCCCCTCCTTCTTAAACTCTGTGTTTTCCCTCTCCATCTTTTCATCTTTAACAAATATGTCCAAAATGAATCAACTGCGCTTGTCTGAGAACGCTAGGAACAGGGAGGCGGGGGCCGATGAGCCTCGCTCCACGCTAACAAGTCGGCTATGTAGTCGGTGGATTATATTTCCCAAAAAAATGCGTAGTATAAAAATATGCAAATATTGCACTACAGATGACGTCATACACAATGGATTCCACTTGAATAGGCTTTTGTAAAGGGGTAAGACGTTATGCTGCTCCGTAAAACCGGAATTGCATATTAATTTTGCATAATTACTTTAATTCATGTGATTTAACTTCTTCAAAAGAAAATTTAATTTGTGCTCAATTCAAATGAATGCTGTCTATCTGCGTGTTTGTGTAAGGTCATTTGTCAGCGCCTTGTGCGCATTGTCGCCGTTTCGCATCTCGGTGCGCGGAGTGCCGGTGTCGTTGAAGGTGCAAACCAGACTTCAGAAATAACTCTTTGGTCAAAATACGCGGCTTTTACTTGGCCAAAATCCCCTAGGATGCATTTTATACCTCCAAGACGTAGTGTCTTACGGAACAGTTTGCATGCTTATACCGGTTTTTCCAATTTACCGAAATCCAAATCATCATTTTCTTTGTTGTATTGTATAGTAATTGTTTGGATGCTTTTTGTGGGAAAGGTGAAGGCTTTATGCCTGCATGGACGACTAGGGAAAGAAGTCAAAACCTCCACCGAAGTCATTGTCAAGTAGAAGTTAATTCACATCATGCTTGAGAGGGAACTTTATGCTGTTAAAGACAGCCAGATTTATGGGTGACTTCTTGTATCGGGTCGTTCTCATTCTCTTGGTGCCACCGAATTGGTGGCTTTGAGTAAGCGTGCGTTCAAACGGCGTGGCCATGGTTTTTACGGTGGTTCACATGTGTGCCTTGAGAGTGGTTACGGTGATTCTATATTCACCCCACTATTTTACTGTTCAATTCCTGTAGTGAATCAAACACGTTTATTTATTTCTTTAGCAACGATATGGTCGTTTTATAATACATTCGTAATTGCTTCATAGTGTTTGATGCTTCATCTGTGTGATTTGTATCCATTTCTCCTTACCTTCTCTTTCTCTGCTTTCTAAAACCAAGCTTACATCAACTTTGTTATTTGGTTTGCAAAAAACAGCGGCAATATCTCTTGTTTTCTTTTCTATGTGCATTTATTGAATATTTCGATGCGTTAGTAATGTACCCTGAGGACCCAGCGGAGCTATCGAGCTCCAGCTCTTCATCTTCTGATGCTGAAAAGATTGAAACGGAGTCTTTGGAGACTGAGATTTCTGAACTTACTCGACAGGTTAGCAAAGCACTTTATGTTCTATCCTAGTTTTTTCTTATTCCTTATACCTTCTCTCCGTCTTCCTTGTAGCTCGAGGTGAATCCATATCTCTATGACGCTCAAGTACGCCGAGTAGCCCTTCTTCGAAAAGTTGGCGAACTTGACAGACTCCGTGAGGCACGTGAAATGATGTCCAAACACTTTCCTCTCACACCCAGTATGTTATTTTTCAACGATATGGAGAATATTACAGGAATACTATAGGCCTTCCTTTGGCTTTCAGAGATGTGGCTACAGTGGACCAAAGATGAGGCTTCTCTTCTTACCGAAGGCGATGATCGGGAGCCTATTTATCAGCTTTTTAAAAGAGCTTTGTCTGATTATCAAAGTAAGCCGCACACTTTTATCTGGGTTTCCATTTATTTCGATTTATTAATAAAGTACTAATAAACAAGTCACATAGATAGTAGTTTTTCTGCTTTTAAATCGAAAGCTGGTGAACACCTATATTTAGGATTATGATATTAGAAGCATGATTTTTGTAGGGGCGAATTGGAATGAAGTGAAACATTTTTTCACCTACTCAGTACAGTAACTCCCACTCTGTGCTTGTTTTTCAGCATTCCTAGCCATCTTCTAAGGTGTTATAAAGCATCTTTTTACTAAAGTAAGCTTAGTAATACCGTGGACGGGAAGCCATGGTAACAGGATAGTGGTAGAGTTTGCCTGGACGAAGGAGCTCCCTCAATAAAGTGTGCTGTCAAATATCGTTTTGCCATATAGCTCTTACCTTCGTGGTCAGTCTTCCTCTTTGGCCATTAGTAAGTCCTCCTGTCAATTATTGTTCATAGGTGAAAGAGATGCAGTGAATTGGCATAATAAAAGAAATGATTCCACCTATGCTTTAGTGGAATCCCACGTTCTAGTTTTAGGTGGAATTCGTGAGTGTACTCCGTAGTTCAACCCTTTTTGGCAGTGGTGTTTGTTTAGGAGAAACATGATGGAGAGTGTCAAGCTTAATAATTATGCAGTTACTAAAAGTCATTTCTGGTTGTTTGAAAGCTGAATCCGCTCCATTAATGACAATTTTACAGAGATGGCAATTACGATGCTTGCATTTTTAGTGGTTACCCACAGATAACTATCAACGGCATATACCTTCTTATGTCGTTCGGGTCTAGTGCCCAAGGCAGAATATTTGTGAACTCATCCCAGAATTTAACTAGTACTCGGGAAAGTTCGACGCATAGAGAATTGTCACTGCGATGAAAATACTCGTAGACAATTTTTATCGTTGCGTTCCCTTACTTCACCCTCGATTGAAATGCTATGCTTATCGCCAAAGTTTCGCCATATGTAAAGTTGCCGTCCAGAAAATCTTGGCCTTCCTTGTCAGATACTTCCTTCCTTCATCGCAGAGAAGCGATATTCAACTGCTCAGGTTTTTGGTCTTTTCATCTACAGGTGTGGACGTGTGGTTGGAATATTGTCAATTTGCTATCGGTGGAATTGGATTGGGTGAGTCAGTAGAGCTCGATCGCACCCGTGCCGTGCTGGAGGAGGCCGTGGCCAACCAGGGTCTCAATTTTGCCCAAGGCGCAGTCCTATTTGAGGTCTATCGCGAGTTCGAGACAATCTGTCTTGCTCAATTGCAGGCCAAGGGTGTAAGTCCTCCGTTCTTTACTCCATCTTTTTATTGTCGGTAGGATCCTGTGGCAATTGCGAATCAAGTGAAGAAAATTGACAGTATTTTCCGGCGTCAGTTAAGCATACCACGTGTTGGTAGGTATTTGCTTCATGAAATAGTTAAATGCTTTTAGATATGGATCAAACAATGGAGGAGTATAAGTCTTTTCTGGAGGGAATAGCGGAGAGTACTGATGGTGGATTATCTGACGATTGCAAGGCAGCCTTCGAATCAGCTCAAGCAAAGTGGCAAGCAGTGGAGAATTACGAGTCAGCTGTTGCTGACAGCGCTGAAGAGAACTCTCTTCTCTCGGCCTGGCAATCTTACCTCTCATGGGCGGTGGAGCATGCTTCCCGCAAGGGCACTCGCGCGAATTTCGTAAGGAAGGCGGCCACTGCCGACGCGGAAATCGCCTTTACACCGGCGGAGGTCCTTTGTCTCTTCGAACGGGCCCTCACCGATCTTTGTCTCCACGTCTCCATATGGCTGCAAATGGCTGACTACCTGGAGGCACACGTATCCACTGATCGGCAGCGTCTCATCACCACTTTAGCACGCGCCGTGCGCAACATACCCTGGAGTGGTGAGCTCTGGTGCCGCTACGCACTGGCCTGTGAAGCGCATGCGTGGGATCTTGCAACTCCAGCGGACTTCTCGTGTAGCATGGACGGTGCTTCAGCCGAATATCCGGCGTCTCACCTCTCTAAGGAGTTTGACCCTGTCAAAGGTAGGTCTGTTCTTTTCCACCCCGTATTCTGGCATGTCCGCACTAACTCCGTAAACGACTGGTTGGTTTTAAAACAGTAAACTATGCGTGAGATGTTTTGAGTCGCAAAATAACTACCCTTTTTGCTCGCTTTTCCTCTAATGCTCTGGCAGCGGACGTGTTAATCATTATGAATTAGCCTTGGACTGGAACTAACCATCTTTGCAATCACATTGTTTAGAAATCGTAATGTGTTTTTTTGTAATGAAATTGTAGCTGCTGATCGTCTAGTCTGCAGCTATGCAGGAGTATGATGACATAATACCACAATTATTTCTACTTTGATTGTACTACATTTGACAGTGGAAATCGCGGATTGTGTTGTTTTATGCTTTTACACACTTTTCAACTCATTTAGACATCTACGAAAATGCTCTAAAGTATGGTTATCCATCAGCAAGTGATCTAATTGCTGTTTGGTTGGCTTATTGTGATTTCCTGCTACGTGTTCTCCGCAATTCAAAGGATTCAAGTCTCCAAGGTACCTTGCTCATTGTTAGCGAATTCGCCCCATTCTGCTCTGAGACTGCAGACTTTTACACGATGTTATTCCTCCTTTTTAACCTAGAACGATCCACCAAAATGTTGCGCAGCACTTTTGAAAGAGCCCAAAATCATACTTCCGCGGGTAAGTCAAATTATGAAAAGTAATTAAATGTACCTAAACTAACTGTCGTGTGTTCAATTTGGCAATTTAGCCTTCCCCAATCAATCTGAGCAGGATTGTCCAATCTACCGCTATTGGGCCTTTGTTGAGGTGAGGCACTTTAACATTTGTAAATGGGTCTTCATGTATGAGATCAAACTTTTAATTAAAGATAATGGTGCAAACATTTCTTTTGGCCCCTTTTAGGCAAAACACCTCGGTGACAAGGAGCGCTGTCGTGAGCTCTGGAAGACGATGCTTAAAATGGGCAATAATGGTAACAACCCTGCCTTTTGGATTGCCTACTTGGATTTTGTAAAGCAAGTTCTTACCCATATTGGTCTTGATTAACTCCGCCCTGGCAACACAAATGGAGCCCGAACCTCGCTGGCATTTTTTTTGCAGAAATCATGACGAAGCAGATCAGCTCGTGCGTGTGGCAGGAATGGCGGTTAACTCGGTGACCGGTGACTACACGGAAACGATCTTTCAGACGGCACGCAGGTGTCTCGCGGAAAGTGGTCTGGATTTCAAACGTTTGCGTGACTTTGACGCCAAGGTCGCTCAACGCCGAGTTCGTCTTGCCGGTCTGGGAGCCTCCAAAAGGGTGGAGCAGGAGGATGGTGCAGATCATGCGCCATCTCGACAGGTATTGGCTTCTCTGAGGCCAATCTGATAGTTTACTTAGTGGTTCCCAGCAGAGTCGTTACTTCAGGCGTGACTAAGACTAATGTATTTTTGTTTCTTCAGATAATTATTCAAACACGTTAATTTTGTGCAGACTGAATTTGTCGTAGAATTAATAGTGGCAGGTTTGAATAGGTGTGTCATCTGCAATGTTTATTTTTTAATATTTTCGTCATAGCGACGCAACCTCCCAGACTCTTCAGCGGAGAGGGCCTCTAAAACAGGGAAACGCAAACTTGATGAAAGTACATCCTCCTCAACTGTAACAGCTGCTAAACGCCAGAAGGTAAGGCCAGACCTGGAATTTGTTTCGTATCAACAGCATCATCCCTTCAGCAGACTTAGAATCCAGTATTATGCGAAACCATTTGTGGAGAGGCGTTCAAGTTAAAGCCGAGTCAATTGCCAACTATGTTCTACTACTTGTTCTAGTAACCGGCGTATATCTCTTCCTGAGCCAGTAAAGACATAATCAGTCAAGTTGAAGGCAACAGTGTCATGATCAAAGTCTACATGTCAACTAAGGCGAAGAATCAGAGCCTGTGGATATCTGTTTACATCTACAGAAGACTTCAATTACACACAGAACGGCGATGGTGTTGAGGCTCGGGTACACAGCAGTAAGACAATTAAACGATTGAAGTAGTGTAAACGTTTCTGTGGTGATTCACGGAGTTCCGTAGCCACAATCTTGGTAGTTGTTCTTGCGAGCATGCATTTAGTGCGTGGAACGTCTCTGCAATCCCAGAGGCATAATCGACACACAAGCTAACGCACGACGAAATCGAATGGAAGATGGATCTCTGTAGCAGTAGTGTACACACATTCACGAACCAAAATATTTGCCTTTTTGAATAGCCAGTGTACACCGGATGTTTTAAGACTACTCAATCGTACTGCCTTCTGTGTACTGGCTAAGGCCTTAGATATGGAAGTGAGAATGGGATTTTGACCCCTTGAAACCTGTTTCTTTTAAGTGCAAGCTGAATAGTACAGGTTTGACTTGAACGTCTCTCATATATTTGATCCATCTGTAACACCTTACGAACCCCTAATAGGGAGTCATTTCTAGCATTTAAAGAGGAAAGAGAGAGGGATTCCCCTGTTTAATTAATTGTAGGCGGATGTTGAGGAGCCATCGAAAAAAAGCGGTGGCGAAGTCGAAAATGCCGACCGCCCGAAGCACGGTGAAACCGTTGTCCATGATTCCTCCAAGGATGATCAAACTGTCTTCGTTAGCAATCTTCCTTTCTCTACAACTGAGGAGGAGTTAAAATCTATCTTTGCCAAGGTTAGTAGTGAAGAGAAACAACGATAGCCATTTTTGACTTTTTCCAACCCATCGCTTAGTACACTATCGTTCCTATTGACGAACATGTCAAGTATGTGGAGGGCTGTTATTCAATATGTTCCTTGGCATTGTTGTAGTTTTATCCCTCTATGACATCTGAGTCGTTCTTGAAAACGTCAAAATGCGCACAATTCTGAATGGATGAACCAACATTTGCCTAAAATCAGTACCATTTAGTGCAAACTTCAAGGTGCCTTCGTAGAACTGATATCCTACCTGCATTTCTTCTTCCTGCCATGTTCTCACTTCGATACACCTCAGCCATCCACTTGAATTCCGTCAGTTGCTGGGGCAAGGGGAGGTGCCATTTCTTGACGCAAATCAAACTTCTTCTTGTAAGCATGAAATTGGAGCGATTGCCCAAAGTAAGCGTAGTTTCATCAGCCCTTACGCTGTAAATCACCGCAACTTCAGTCATCTACAGAATATGTCCTTTTCGACATGTATGGCGCCTTGGATCCTCTTTAACGGGGTTAATAAAAGCCATGGATTCGTATAGGACTTCATTTATCACTAGACAGAGGTAATGGTGGACCATTAAAGGGAGTGAAACAAAGACAATGTTGTATAGTTAGGATAATGGTCGAGTATACTAAGGTCGAATTTTGTTCTCTTCCACTTCAACAATGGAAAGCCTGCCACGTTCGGTCATCACAGCTCACAAACTACATAAACTAGGACGATCCTATGATAGGATTTTCAACCAAACCCATCTGTTTGCAGTATAATTTCTTCCAAATGCAGTTTTCGCAAATTTGTAAGGTGATGCCGTATTCTCATCTATGAATTTTCAGTGTGGTGAATTGGTCTCCATCCGCCTTGTACGTGACTACGCGGGCAAATCGAAAGGCTTCGGCTACGTAGAGTTTGCCGATGCGAGCAGCGTGCCTGCAGCCCTTGAACTGGATCGCTTGCCTATCGGGAGTGGTAGCGGCGACAGTGTAGGCAGTAGCGCCAGTGGCAGTATTGGTGGTCGGCCCATGTTCGTCTCGGTGTGCGATACTAATCGCTCAAAGTCTGTCTTCGCCTACAAAACTGGGGTGCCGGAGCCTAACAAACTCTTCGTCCGCAATCTAGACAAAGTCACCACGGAGGAGGCTCTTCGTACCTTCTTCGGCAAGGTCAGTTGTCTTCCCTCTTCCCATCCCCTTTGAATTGTCATTGCTTGCCACCGAGAAGCGTATGTGGTTGTGCCATCGGACGTTCTGTTTTACAAGTCACCTACCCTTACAGTTTAGTGAAACTTAAGCTTGAAATAAGCCAGAGAAAATGAATAGAGAAAATTAACTTGGACCGTCTTCGTCCGGACTCTTGAAGGCCTTTTAAACTTTTGCACGCGGTTTAATGACGATTAAAACCGAGAGACGTTACAAGATTATATATTTCTGGGTAGAACTTTCCTGTAAATTTACAGAATTGATGGACTTTGACGGTAATAACGAGCGCAACATCATACTATCAAGATGATGTTCAAATGACGTAGTTAAATTATGAATCAAACAGGTATCATCCCGATAGGATTATAACAACAAAAGATCTGAATTTTGGCTTTTTAATTTCTTTAGCATGGTCGAGTGACAAGCGTGCGTATAGTGACCTTCCGCAACGGCGTGCCCAAGGGCCACGCCTACGTGGAGTTCGCAACGGAGGAGGAAGCCAGTCGGGCTCTGGTTGCCACTGACGGAGTTGTTTTTGGCTCCAAAGCGATTTCTGTTGCCATTAGCAATCCGCCGCCACGCTCCGCCGCATCAACTGTCCGCTCTACCCATAGTCAGGTGAAACGCAAGGAGCCTTCAATGCACCCGCCTGCGTAAGTAGACAATCTCATTTAGCTTTTCACAGAGCAATAAACTGCCTTAAGATTGCGGCGAGTGCCCATTGTCGTGAACTTCATCCTTGTAGACGATCAAAGGCACACACACAACTCGCCTTCATACCGAGAGCGCTCCATCGTCCGGCCGCGGGGGATTCAACTCCTCAGTTGCCGTCTTTGCCGTCGGAAGCCACGTCTGCTGAATCGGGGGATATGACGACACCGAGAAGCAACGCAGACTTCCGAAAAATGTTTTTAAATAAGTAATTATATGCTTGTATGTCTACTTCCAGGTATGTTTACATCAAAACATTTTATAAAGCTTGTAATCATCAGTCAAATCGGGAGGTTTTCTGCAGGCATCGGTGCTCATTCCACGGCTTCGAAATTTTTCAGGCTGAGGTCATTACGGTAATCCTTTCCAGTGTCTTCTGCCACCCTTTCTCTCCATCAGTTCCTCTAGCTATAGTTTTTTAGCAAAATATGTGCAATTGTGGTCTTGAAAAGTCGTCATGGGAAAATATCATTCAGACGAAAAAATCGAGTGATTTTTGGAGTAGCTCATTGTGATGACTTCCCGTGACCTGTAAACATCTTTGCGTGCATAAGCGTCGGTGTCTACTTTCTTTTTGCTCCGACTTCCCGTTCCATAAAATCTGGGATGAACTCAACAGATGAACCTGGCTTGCCATTGGCTTTACTGAATGCCATTTGGAGAAGTTACAGCAATAGAACGCACCGTTTTAAAGCAAACGATTTGAATTATGTTTCTGACATTGAGCCACTGGAGGGTGTGGCACTTTAGGGGACATGCTCTGGTCTGGAACTTGAAAAACTTCGTGTCTGAGACGAGTTTATCAAGAACAACGTCTAGACAAGCTCAAAGCAAGCAGCGCGGCAATTCGTCCACGTCTACATCAACTGGGATGTTTATAGTAGAAGACCGGACAAGTGGGTATCACATGCTTTAAAGACTGTCAATTCGTTTTTCGTCTTTTTTTCATCTCATAAACTGCCGCTGCATATCACATGTGAGTTGGCAGGAGAAGCAACGCATCATTGGTTACCTTTAAACAATCCACTGCCTACTCAACCCGCCCTACACTCCTGAGGCCCACTCCACTTTATCAGCAGAGGACGAATTACTAGATGGTTGTGTAGTAGACTGCGGCTGAACGTTTGCAAGGGAGGAGGCCAGGATTGGACAATCAGTCGGGAGTTTTTACCCTTAAAAGATGCCCCGTGGCTTTACCTCACATCCTAGGTCAACCTGTCCATGAGTGGGAGATGCTGCCTCCTCTTCACACCCTGTGATTATCACCTTCTAACATTTGACAATCATGCGTGGAATGGAATGGTAAAAGTGAGGTAGAAATGAAAATGGAGAGGACCAAGGTTGATTGTTTGCATCTGAAGAAAAATAGTTCCGTAAATATAAATTTGCGACCAAATTGTGGCCTGTTGAAAGAAGATATCAGCCTGTCATGATGATTATTCCGGTAAACATAGTACTTCAATGAGCTTTCTGCACATCCCTAATTGTTGTTATAAAAAATAGTTTTGGTGACCTTATATCACCGTAAAATTGTCCAATTCAGGTGACTCTCAGAACCCGAAAAACTAATCTCCATTGAACCTACACTACCTTGTGCCTATTTTCTTTCAATCTACGATATGACATGCTACAAGCTGTTGGGAGACACTCGTTACATACTTGTGTCGCTCTTAGTTCCTTCCCATTCGTTTCGCCTTCACTTATTTGAATCAACCATTTTGAAAGCCTCGAACTGCACATAAATTATATGTAACATGAAATAAAATTATCAAATGATATCACATGTGTTCTAGTTAAGGCTAAATGACAAATTGCACATTTACAGTGTGGGCGACAGGGATAACAAGCATTGAATTCACTGTGAAGAATGGACGGAAAAGGTTGAGTCCCGAATCCTGA